ACCAGCTTGTAACGCTGCCAATAACAACTTAATATAAAGAGCTGGAAAGCCCCTATAGGGCTGGCAGGAGGTGAGGTGGATGGGTCCAACAAACCCTGACCTTTCACCTGGGAGCACACTGTTCATTTCATGTGAGTTTTAATGCCAATCCATGATGCCTTTTTCCTAATATAACCATGTGCTTTTGTTGCACATGGAAATAACAAGCGGCAAGCTCCAAGGCTGAAAAATGAAACCAATGTGGAACTGCCAAAATTGCAGTTCACCAAATGACCACCAGAGGCTGGCTCCAGAAGCCAGTCAATATCCAAAGAACCCTATGTTAAAATGCCCAACTTTACAGCAGAAATAAACATGTTTACAGCCTAGTGCAAAAAACAGTTTGGGTCTCTATAGGTCATTTCACCATTAATGACTATACAGGTGGTGAATTTTATGCATATTTAAGGTTTCTCAGTCAGATCCATCCCCTCACTCCTTCACAGCTCAAGTCTCTCGATCAAATATGGTCACGTCTGGCTCCAAAAAAACGACGACCAAAATGCTGTACTCGAGGCTTCAAAAGGGGGATCCACAAACTAATGGGTGACGTCACGGTAGCTACGTCCATTATTTTTACAGTCTATTTAAAAAGACGCAATTCATGTAACAAGCAAAAATTGACACGCTATCCCGGAACATCAACAACAGATGCAGGAGGTTACTTAGTGTGTCACATGTAGATGTGAAAGTCAACTGACTAAGCGGCGATATGTGACGAGTTGGGATGAAGACGTGTTAGATATGCTCAAGTCACAGTTGCAAATACAACATGTCTTTGCTTTTAAATGACCACGAAGCGATCAGTCAGGCCATTTATTTATTTACTCATTTATTTATATACACATGGGCTTTTCTGTGAGAAATATTAAAACAGAGGGAATAGTGAATTTATCAAAACTAAAGGAAAACATTACTGACGTGCTGAGTCTGCAGCAACAATAACTTAAAAGGGAGTAATTCAGAAAGTAGGACGTTTATCAATAAAATATGGAAAATACTTACAAAAACAAGGAAAATTAAAAGTAAAGGCCTGTCTCTAATACAACCCTCTTCCAAATAGACCGGGTTCTCTCTGCAAGTGAGGTAAATAAAGGCCCAAGCTATTTGAAATTATAGTATGTCCTTGGCCTGTAGGTGTCACTCATGAGCTATATTACACTGTAGCATTTTAAACCTCGTGGGATAATTGTTGGGGTGAAGAAGAATCTTTGAAGAAAGCCCATGGGAGAATCGCTTAGTGCTCCTTTAAAAACAATACAATGTCTTTTTTGTTTGTTTGTTTTCTTTTGCCATCATTGCATTTGCAGCACATAGCACACATTTAATATGCACTATCAGGTCCAACCATTTATCATCATCATCATCATAATCATTGCTTTATCATCACATCATCATTACGTTAATCTTTTCAGCAGCAGTTTTTCACAGTTATCATTAAACCCCAAGCCAGAATCATAAAAGCAGAAGTAATAAAAGACATTCCAAACAGAAAAGATCAATCAAGAAACTCATGCACATTCTCCACCAACATGGAATACAGAGTGACGGGCCTGGAGATCAGCCTGCACCATCTGTTTCCCTTGGTTTTTTACTAAGATAGACTGGATAAAAACAGTAGTAGCATTATTCACATGTACTGAGGAAGCTTCTTCAGCTGTCATGTTCTCTGGTAGTGATATGGCATATGAAATGCATAGAGAAACTGGTGATTCTCATCATTACTAAGATTGAAACTTTACTAAGATTAAACTTGTAAACTGCATAAGTACACTGTCACCCGGGCTTCAGAGATAATTGTGCTTTTATATACCTTCAGGGTTTTTGTTTCATGACTTTATTGTAGGCTTACATATCTAAATGTTCTAATGGTTTACCGGACAAACCAGAATTTTATAGCACAGCATTTGTCTGATGACTGATGGTGTGTTCACACAGAAGCAATTTTTTGCCTTTTTGCACAAATATGACTACTGGAGAGGTTTTGCACTTTGTGTTTATTTGCCACAAACAGTGACTGTATCAACTGTGCAGCTGCTAGCTGTAAGCCAGGTGGCCAAAACCATGTTGTTTCTTGTGTGTTATCACACAGGATTTTTTTTGTCTTTACATAAAAAGTTATTGCTTCACATGTTTAAATGTGACATCTTAATTCATTAAAAGCATGTCTATATTAATTTTGGTGTGTTATCACAACATTCTTTCTATTCCTTTGACGGGCAACGCTAGCTCCACCCGCTTTGAATGTAAAGACTGACATGCATGTTTGTTATATCTGGTCATGTGACCCAAAATGAGCACATGTACACAGTTTTTTTAAACACGGGAAAACCCATTAAGGTTATTGAGTCCTTTCCCATTGCCAGTAGACTAGAGCCATGTAGAGGGCTCTGCAGCAGACGAGTATGCCTTTCAGATTTTTTTGCTGGTGTGTCACGTTTGACGTCACAGACAGGCCTGAAAACAGGTTAATAAACAGTAGAAAGCAGCATGAAGGCCAGTGAAAATGTTACAGTGGTTAATTATTTTTAATATATCTCTTACTTACTCAGTCTCCCTTTCAAACTTGGTGCAGACTGATGATTTTCTGCTTGGTTGGAGTTTGACGGTATTTCATGGTGGCACGTAATTGCATCTCGACGGTAAAAGTGTGTTTCCATCACTGCCAATTGGAGACAGAGCCAATAAATTCCTGTGACTGCTGCAAAGTCATCTGGGTGTGAATGCCGATTGTAACCTTTCCCATTACATTAAAAAGCCAGATGTTACAGTCGAAAAGGAGCTTTACATGGCTCCTGCATCTGTTCTGGTTTATAGCTCAGGAACCTGTCTGTTACATGATTACTACTTGCTGTGATGTTCTGCTGTGGATGGTCCATTCCTGGATCACCACTGAGAGCTGATAACCTTTGTTTAAAGTGTTTAATATTATGAACACTGAATAGTGATTAATGCAGGAATAATATAATTTTAAGTTTTGCATGTTCATTCACATTCTCTTGTCAAATTCGTAATGGAAGTAGTAGTTTCAATAGTGAAAAAAGCACTACAAGGAGTGAAATACAACAAAAAGAAAAAGAAGAGGTCTTATCACACTGCTCTCCTCTTAAATCTTGAATTAAATGGTTGCTTCCACTCAGCTGGTCGCCAATTTAGGTTTTAAGTTGTGTTGTTACGTCACCAAAACGTTTCTCATGCCAACGACATGTTAACGTAGAACAACGACTTTTCGTTGAAAGGTATGGAGAGCAAAGCCCAACATCTGCAAAACATCATAATGTTGAAATTCTAACATTTGAAATATCATTATCCCGATTTTCATCCCAACAAAAACTTAACGTTTGTCCAACGTCTTTCTGACGTCATTTTGACATCCAGTGCCAGCTCTGCAGTTTAGAAGACATTACAGTAAGACGTTGAAAATGAATGTTTAAACACAAAATTACATGATTTTGGCCATCTGGCTTGTGATACACTGACGCTGAAATAAATGCAAGGCTATGTAATTTCCCCAAAAGTCACCTATATTAAGTAAACCTGTGTGTGTGTGTGTGTCTGTTTGACACACAATCAGATTCTGACTGATTTCAAAGGTTTTGCAGTCCTTTCTGATATAATACTCCACTATTTTTTCTTGTGTTTTTATACTTTCATAAATTGGAGTCATAAAGCCTTGAAATATTTTCAACTCGGTGCATGTTTTCTAATTCAGATATCGAAAATGTTCATGTCCTTCCCTTCCCATTTGGTGTGAACACACTTTGACACTACTCTATCAGGTGATGAGTGACATTGGTAAAACAGCTTATTAATTACATACCTGTAACCTCACCATAGCCTTCTGTCAACATTTTTTGTTTTGTTTTTTGTTTTTTTCTTTTTTTGGCAAAACCATCACTCTGATGAACAACAAATTAGGCACCTTTGACAAACCATGGAAATTCCCATAAGAAATTTGAGGCATCCTCCAGTAACAAAATGAAAGACAAAGGGATTCATCATGCTGTAGTGCATTTACCCATGGTTATAAAAAAAAAAGACAAAATAAATGAATCTTTTTTTTTCTTGTAGAAATTAAAGGTACAATAATTACTGTTAAACATTATACCTTTAAAACATCTGGTGCACCAAAACACACAGTAGTACAATACTAATACAGTACAGAAATCCAGAGGGATAATGAAGCCACTGTGTAGACTTTCAAAAATCCATCATGGATTTCATGATGTAAAACACCAAAAATTACTAATCTCTTGGTGCCTCCACTTTCAGATACATATGGCCCACACAGGAGAGGAGGCAGGCACCCTGAGGTGTACAAAACATGATACATACCATGTTGCAATACATGTTTAGGGCTCATCAATTTTGGTTTTCTTGCATTAAAAAAGCATGGAAGTTATCATTATTTTGAATACTAAGAAGCGGGTGAACATCCACTGAACTAAATCAACCTTGCAAAAATCAAAGTGAAATCATATCAGAGCAGAGATAATAGAGGTTTTTCATCATATCACCCCACTTGATTAAAGTGTTGGAGAAAAGAACATGTAGCCTGTTTCCACTGCAGGAACTTGCAGAAACCCTTCACAAGATTGCAGAAACTCAGGGACGTCTCGCTCCTGGTCCCCAGTAAGGGCCCTGCTCTTGAAGGAGAATCTTCTAATGACCCAGGAGTTATCAGGGTGGGGTTTGCAGCACTGTTTCTTTTTTTATATGCAGTTTGACGAGACTAAAAATAACTGCAGTTTGATTTAATGTGATATTCTACAACCAGCCGCAACTCAGCCCTGAGCAAGAGTGACTGTCCTCTGTTGACCAATCAACGGACTGCAGTGTTAAGAGCTCCACCTTTTAGTACCAGATATGTGTGCTAGGTACCCCAACAGAGGGGTTACCAAAAATGGGGATGGTATGGAACAGTTCCATTGGTACCATCCACAACTTTTCACAGTGGAAACGGAAAAGATGCGTGCCGAGCTGAACTGAACTGCACCGGGCTGCTTGGTGGAAACGGGTTTTAGACCCAAGTCTTCTGCCATGTTGACTAGTTTGCATAGTTTCCACCCATTTAACAGCGAGCAAAAGAGGCTTTTGTTTCTAATTTAGTTCCTGAGTTTAGTTTCTAGGGTTCCTTAGTTCCTGGAACTATTCAGGAGATAGGTTAGGTTAGGTTTAGGTTAGGTATATGGGGTTATACAGACAATTTTGCCATTTGAATCTTAACAATAGTGCAACTAAAAATGTTTGTCCTGAAAACTGCGCTACAGAGAAGTGAAAGACTGTCCCAACCCTGCGGCCGGAAGAATGTTATATTGAATTCTGGTGCACCACAGGTTACATTCAGTGATAGCATTTTAGAGAACTAGGAAGAAATGTTTTTTATGTTATGTATTTTAACAATACTGACATCAGTGTCTGAGCTGCAGACATGCTACATGCCTATCCACCTGGATATCCACATGCCCTCACAACATTAGGTTGCATTCACACTAAATCAAGCAAAAAACACAGTGGCCTGAACAGAATTAACTTTTGGAAAAATACAACCCAATTAAAAAATATCTGAGAAGGCACTACTGAGTTGACTGACACACCTCTTCAATAATTTTCTTTCAAGACCATCAGCACCAGGGCTTTTCCTCTCTTTTATTTTTTATACATCATGCTGTGGTGACCAATAACATACCCAGCAATCAGACTGGACAATGCCAGCAGTCCACAGGAACAAGTCAGTTTTCAGCAACGTTGAAAAATTATAGCGAGTGAAATAAAGTACGTATTAACAGCTCATATCCAAGGAGAGCGCTTGCTTTGTTTATGAGAACACGTCTTTTATGGTAGTAAAGATACTACAGTTACAATAACCAAAAGGAATTCTACAAATCTTTAAAGCCAACATAAACAAACTTACTGAAGACAAGTACTCAGTCCCTGAGATGGGGAGATTTCCTTTCTATAGTTGGTCTTCACCCTCCACCTCCCCACAACTGGGCTATTCAAGTGACACTCCCACACCGCTGCACCACCCCACAGCTGATCACCACAATGCCTGATTTGGTGTGAATGCAGTCTTACCCCTGCTACATAAAGGTCACACTGCCTCTTACACTTTGTGTGCCAGTAATTGTCAGGATGTTACACTCTGGACTGAAATATTAATAATAATTAATAATTAATTAATATTAGACAACTTGACTAGCTTTTGGCAGAGGTGGGACCAAGTCATTATTTTTCAAGTCACAAGTAAGTCTGAACTCCTGAGTCAAATCCCAAATCAAGACAGGCAAATCCCAAATCATGTCCTAAATAAAGACTGACAAGTCCTGAGTCAAGTCCTAAACTTTGAGTTTCAAGTCTTTAATAGTCAAAATGCATGCTTCACCAAATGTTATACCTCTTTAACAATAGAGTAATGATATATTTGCAAAAATCATGAATGTTTTTTTTAAATGTCTTTATTTGTTAAACAAGTTTGCTGAAACAAGTGTGACTTCACTTAATCATTAATAGTGCCGACTTTGCACTTTCACATCATTAACCAGTACCACTGCAGAATAAATTTTGTATATTTCTGTCCAGTCTTGTTATATAATATAAATGTTGTAAAATACTTCAAAAAGTACTTTATGTCGTATGTGATATTGCCAACAATCACCAACCTGTAATGAGTTTGTAACACCACAGAAAAATGTGTAAACCACCCAGCCCAATTTGAAGTGTGAATTGAATTTGAATGATTGAAAAAAATTACATGGTATATAAAATTAGATTTCAAAATTGTGAAAAAAATGGGCAGTATTCTCTACTCTGAGATGCTGGGGATGTGTCCACTGAAAAGCTGCAGTGCAGTGAAAGACTCTTGTTAGCAGTTAATGAAACGACCGACACTTGTTGGAAGCTACAAGTTACTACAAGCTACTCCGAGCCGAAGTATGAGTCACTGCGCAGCAACAGACTCTTGTTAGCAGCTAAGCCACTAGCACAGACAATCTATGATTGCACAGCACATGCCCTATGAACTAGGAGGAACAAGAGCTGCTGTGCAGCTATAGCCTCTTGTAAAGCAGCTAACAACAGCTAATGTTAGAAAAAGCCCACAGCAGTGAGCAGCAATTGCTGGCAGGCTGGGTAGCTGATTCGGCCAGAGAGAATGAAAGGTACATTAGTGATGGCTGTTAAGCTTGTGTTTATATGGCTGAGGCATTTAACAGAGATGTTTATTCATGTATTTATTAGACTAAATGAGCTCAGAGAGCTCACGGGACATAGCAAACTTGCCGCTCACACACAGTGGGCGAACAGAACGACACTAGTGCAATGCGCCCTAAGACAACGTTTGTAGTAATGTAGTATTTATATAATAGGGGAAGGGTTATGTTAGGGATGGCTTTAGTGCATCACTGAACAGGCTTTTAGACCCGCCCAAAAAGCTCTGGACACAGAAGTGGTAAAAAAACAGTTAAACTGTCAAACTCCACAGTGTAGCACTGGCAGTGCCCAGTCTTCACGCTTTTAGCATGTATTTTCTAACAGTTATCATGTGTTCACTGACTTAGACTTTAACAAACTTTTTAATCTTTGGGCCCTTTAGAAAAGTATTAATTACTTTCAAGTCAAAAGGCTTCAGTCCAAGTGAAGTCACCAGTCACTGGTGTTTTAGTCCAAGTCGAGGTGCAAGTCTTTTTTGATTTTGTCAAGTTGAGTCTAAAGTCATCAGATTTATGACTCAAGTCCAACTCAAGTCCAAGTCATGTGATCTTTAGTTCACACCTCTGGCTTTTAGTCCTTAAGGGGCAAAATTTTGCAGGGGGACAATTCAATGGATTCAATGATTTTTTTTTTTTTTTACCCCCAGGAGCATACCACGTCTAACTAACATATCTCCATTTTTATCTTCACTCTATTGCAGAAACTTATTCTAGGTGTACTTGCCATCATCTATTGTTATTTACTGTAAACTAAGTTGAGCAATGTTTTAGGGAAGGGAACATATAATCAAATCAATCAATTTCACAATAAGTTTTTCAAATGAATTAAAAAAAAATTCTTTAGATAAAATCAGTGCAAACTGAAATTGATGAGCCTCAGGTTTTATGAATGGCACTCTTAAAAGAATGACTAACATTACTATTGTAGTCAGTATGCCTCTGTTTGATCTCTTTTTTCATTTTAATCTCCCGCTCACTGTTGGTCATTCTATCTGTATTTTCAGAGTTCATTGCTTTGGCACAGTAGAGATTTAAGTCTGATCAATGGCACTGCACAAGTGAACACAGAAGAGGAGGGACGAGGAGATGAAAGAGGAGGAAATCAGTGTCACAGGGTTTCTCCTTTTACTTGCTCATTGTTATTGAGCCCTGGCGAGGGTTTGCTCTTCATGCCCTCAGTACCCCCTCGGGACGTCTCCTGGAAGAAGAGGTGAGGCATCCACACTGACATGATGATCCGCTTGTACTCCCTCCGGAAGTTCTGGTTAAGCAGGCCATAGATGATGGCATTAAGGCAACTGTTGAAGTAAGCCATGAAGTAGCTGACCACAAAGAGCCACTCCGGGATGTGAGGCGCTACTGCTTCAGGGTTGACAGCAACAGCGAGCCCGATGAAGTTGAGTGGTGCCCAACAAATAGCAAACAGCACGAACACCACAAACATGGTGATAAAGTTCCTAAGGTCGCTGGGCTTGATGCGAGGGCGGACCTCTGACTTTACCTTCCGCCTTACCTGGATGACCAGGATCCAGATACGCAGGTAGCAGAAGGTGACCACAGCAATGGGCACAAAGAAATGGATGACCACTACAGTGATGGTGTAGGACGTGCTGACTGTCTGTGCAAATGTGCATGAGTAGATGCGTGCGTCGTACTGGAGCGAACCAACAAAAAAGTTGGGCACGATGGCCACAACGGTCAGCAGCCAGATGAGTGCCACCAGCAGCAGCGTGTTGCGGTAGCTGTACAGCTTGTCGTAGCTGAAGCTGTGGCAGATGTAACAGTAACGGTTGATGGCGATGCCTGTTATGTTGAAGATAGAGCCAATGACACTCAACCCCATCAGGAAGCCACTCACCTGAGAGAGAGAGAGAGAGGAAGAGAGAGAGAGAGAATTTGTTGTACCAATTAGTGTGAGCATTCACATTTGTTATCTCCAAATATTTATTATTTCATTTTTAATTTCTTCCTATTTCACTATTAATCTTTTTTTTTATTCACCCCAGGAATGATGGTGAAGATATACCTTAAAATGACTCAAAGTTGACATGGTTCTGAACGTGCGTCTCCAATATATTCTCATTGAACAGTTCATATGATATACTACGAAAAATGCATGTACAACAGTTCGTATGATATCCTACGACTGTGCGCCCCACAAATTATGTTACATCCTTAACATACAGTTACATATTTAATGTAAAGTTACAGAGTTTAGGTCGAGGCAATAAAAGTTACTGAGGTTAGGTTTAGGAAATGGTAATCCTAACCCCTAAACCCTAACCCACTCAAAGTTCACATGGATCTGAACATGCAACTACAGGGGCAAGTCCTGAGCGAAAGTCTTTTTTGTTTTTGTGTGACCCATCCACCTCCCCAACCTGCCCCCTTACAAGCGCTCAGGACTGCTTCCTTGTTTACTGCTGTCAGCACATTGGTCACATGATCACAGCCATTCAATATACTACATGGGATATGTACAAATTTGGGTGCATTGCTTTCTCTGGGAAAACACAGAAAAACAGCTTGGCATCTCCTAGGGAAAGTCTGTGGTTCTGTGACCCATCCCCCACCCCAACCTGCCTCTTTACAAGACCGCTCAAGACCACTTCCTTGTTTACTCCCGTCAGCACATTTGTCATGTGATCACAGCCTTCCAAAATACATGGGTTATGCACAGATTACTGGTTCATGATTACATGAATCTGAATTCAGATTAGATCAGTTAATCCAGTTTTAGTTTTGATCTGGATCAAATCTTAGTATATGTTATTCAAATAATAATAATAATCCCAATTTTGACCCCACAATCGGGATTGTCCTGATCTCAGCAGAAGGGCGGATTCCAAGAGCTTACGGTTGTTGCTGCACGAACACTTTTAATGGAGAAAAATAATAAGAGAAAAGAATACTGGGAAAAAAAACAACAAGGCTTCAGCAGTGAGTCCTGCTGCTTGGACACCTAATAAATATATATAGTATTATTACGATCTCCATTACTCAGGCACTCAGGCAGTGCCAATGTCATGAAGTCATGATGTCAAGAAGATGGCAGTGAAGACTGCTGAACACAAATGGTAATGGACTGCACTTATATAGTGCTTTTCTACCTTAACGGACACAGTGCTTTTGTCATCAAATCATCCCCAGCATTTCCAAGTGATTATATTGTTGCCGCTGCTGTTGCAAAGACAACCAAATCACCTCCTGTTTTCTGCAGAGGCTACCAACCACCAGTTTTCACACTTACTTCGGTTGTTCCACCATCCACCACTTCCACTAACTGCAAAGAACTTACACTAGCCCTTTTTACACAGAGACCATGCTATAGGGTTGCTACGAAGTCCCTTTTTTATGCCTCCTTTGCATTTTTACACAGAGCCAAACAATGGTGGCATCAGTCTGCTTCACTGTCTGAAGCATGCTGGCACTGCAGAAACAAAAGAGCCAAGACGGGCGTGACATATAACAAAACAGCGTCAGTCTCTAGTGTGAGGATAAGGAGCTCCTGGACCTCATTGTTTTCCAAATTTGAGGACATTTTTGAGTTCTTTGAGTTAAGTGCTAACTGCTATCAGCTGTTTTTTAAATCTCCAACCTGCTGGCTGTCCCATTTATACAGATATCGTTTTGGTGCTGTTACTACCTCCAATGCTGGCTTAAAGGTGAGACAACTCTGTCCCCCCATTCTGCGATTCTATCTTTATACAGTGCTGCAAGGTGGAATAACAGTGTGAAATTCCCACCTTGAAGATTAAGTATAAGGCCCTGATCACAAAGAAAGCGTTTTACAGATTGCAAAATGCGAGGTACAACTCACTGCCCTTTTTTTTTTCTAAATTGAATGCTGCTGTAAAAAAAATGCTTGCTGGGCCTTAAATTATTGCCAGGCAACCAACTCATCACCTACTTACCCTTATCTAACCCTCCTGTATAGTCAATATATCGTTTAATTAGTCTAGCACTACCTACTTATGTTCACAGTAAATAGTAGCTAGTTCCTAAAATGGAGAGACAGTGGGTACTTGCTCTAGCTCAGGTTGAGGGTGAGAGGCTGTCAGTAAATAGTTTGTTGTAAACTTGTTGATGATCACCACAGAAGGCCTGCCTCTCAAATCATCCAATTGGACAATGAAGAAAAAAAAGAATTGCAGATGTGGCACACTTTTTCGCTCTGAGATGAAGTTTTTTTTTAACTTGATGAATTCAGAGTGCTCCAGCCAAAATTCCAAGCACCTAGAGCGCAGAGCATAGCAACGCAGAAACAGCGAGCATAAAGCTTCATTCTCATTAAAAACAATGACAAAAAGCTGCTAAAACACTTTCTGTGTGATCAGGGTTTAAAAGGGGTTATTCATACTCTTTGGTAACTGGAAATAGCTACCAGGGAAAACAAAAGCGCAGTCCCCTTACTGGTTTGGTTGCGCAATGGTTAACACACTTCCTTTGTGTAGTAAGTCAAACCTTCATTTTCCCAGTGTATGGTACCCACTGGCAGACAGAATTGCACAGTGAAAGCAAGGCTTTTAGGGGACCAATCTAAAAGCAGAAGGTGTCATTGTTCTATAGCTATCATGATGTGCAATCAACATTTACTTCATACTGATAAGTTAAAGCAAAAAACTGGTGTGATTCCACTTTAATTTTAATTTTATGAAGCAATGTTTCAGTTTTACAGAGATATATGTCAGGCTTTGGTACATAAAAGTTAAGCATGACATCAGAGCAAAAAACACAGTAAAGTCAAAGTTCCTTTTGCAAGAGGGATGTTTAAAAAGAAATGAAGATTAAAACCTTGAATTAAACAAACCTGATTTAAAAACATAACTGACAAATGACAAGACAGGGAAGGAACGACACACATTGTTGGCATGACTGAAAACACTGGAGGAGACAGGAGAGGAAGTCAGCTGAAGGGAGCTGTCTAGCTCAGCCTCATGTCTCGTCTCCTCTCCCTCTGTATGAAAGGTATCCTGGAGGATATGTAGCTCAGGTCCTTTCTGTTATGGCCTGAAGTTACGTGACGTCTTCCCGGGTGCATATTCATCATATATAGCTTACTGTATACGTTTGCAATCTATCTACCTAATATTGATATTTCCTCAGATTGTTATTTGTGTCTATTCTGTATACATGACATGTATCGCCTGTTGGTCTGTCCTGAAAGATGTACCCCTCCTCGGTTGCTCTTCCTGAGGTCTCTTCCTGTTTTTTCCTGTTTAAGTTTTCCTTAATCTGAATCAAGGGCAGAGGTTGTGGTAAAATACGCAGATTGTACTTTGTGGCAAATTAGTGATTTGTGACTTTAGAGTACATAAATAGAGTTCACCTGACTTGAGCTGAACTGCAGAAATAAGATTAAGGTTGTTCAACATCCTTTAACTTAAAGAATAAAAAATATTCTATAAAACCAAGACAGCATTGGATATACAGTAACAGCTCACCTTGCACTGGGTTTCACCGAGTGACCAGCCATCATGGAAGATGGCGTACAACACCATAGGGTAGGGGTAGAATGCAACCACCAAGTCAGCGAAGGCTAGGCTCACCACAAAGACATTTCCTGTAAAGGACAGAAGGACAGGAGACAGAGTCATGTGAGGCTGTGATTGAAACTGTAACAACCTTAAGTATAGCAGCAGCAAGTCAATGGATATGCATGGCCACGCCTCACACCTGGCAGGCTTCCTAACAATGTCGATCAATCACACTAACACAGGCAGCTAGAAAGAAAACACTGAGCTCAGGACAGTGCAAGTGTATTCACACACTCATGTCCTTTCACAGCGTCACACTTCATTACAGCTTCCTACTTCTGTCACCCAAACTAAGGAAATTCTACCTATATCCTCACTGTTTTTCAGTCTTGGATGCCACAGTGAGTAGACCAGTACCAAGTTATAGCACAGTCACTGACAATAACTGATACAACATGATTACACATAAAGGTAACAGAACAAAAGAAACCCACAGCCATAATATATAAACCACCCTGGCCGCATGCCTAGATCATCATGTTATATGTTTATCAATCATGTATGATTTCCACATGTCTCTTCAGGTAATGATTGATCTATTTCTTGTTTTAACACCATAAAGAAGATTCTTCAATAACAACATACCAACTTACGAGATAACAAGAAAAGTTTGCCTTAATGTGATACATTTGTTGAACAATGAGAAGATTTTGTGATGAAGAATTACTGCTTCATGGTTGTATAGGCCCGTTTCCACCGCAGGAACTTCGGGGTAATTTTACGGGGCCGGGGCCGTTGGTGCGTGTCTCCACCGCAGGAACCACCCCCGAAGGACAGAGTTCCGGAACTTTTACAGGGGCTAAACAAGTCCCTGCCTCGGAGTAGGCACTCAAAACGGCCCCGAAAAAGTCCTGGCTGGGGCTTGGGGGTTACTTGGTGCTGATTGGATATACTCAAGGGGGGGATGTGACGTCAACAGAAAGCAACAAAATAGCCGGCATTTTTAAAACTCAGCAGACGAGAGTTAGCTCGTTCATAGCTTCCACTGCCATGTAAACAAACTCAATAATCGGTCTGTGAAAAAAATATTTTTTCCAGCGGATATCTTAGTTACAACATGATTGAGCTAGCAAAGCAGTTTTGTGTTGCTATGTGTGGTATTTATTCAGTTTTGGGAAATCACGATGTCTAGAAAGCATCAGCTGACAGGGACAGCTAACAGCAGCAGCAAAGCTAACATCAGGACGTCATCTGTTAAAAGCCTCCCGTTGTCAGATACGACATGAAACTACTCCAGTTAGCTCAATCATGTTGTAACTAAGACATCCGCTGGAAAAAATATTTTTCCCCGGGCCACTTCGTGAGTTATTACAGACACCGCTATCGGCTAACGGCGTCCCTACATCGCCCCGGTCAAAATGGTCGCATAACGATTATGTCACATCCAGAGCCCGGTAACTTTACAGGAACCTTCCTCCGACTCCGCTCTCAGTGGAGACACGGCAGTTGAGAGGGCCGAGCGAGAGGACGTTCCTGTAGTAGTTCCTGCCCCTTAAATAGTACCAGGAACTTCTTAAGTGGAAACGGGCCTTATGCCTCCACGAACGTGGAGCCATACACGCTAGGGCGTACTTTGAGGTCTTCCAGCAGCATAGGACTTTTGTCTGTTCCAGACGCCTGGCTGACAACTATAGGGGACAGAGCATTTGCTGTCAGGGCTCCAGAACAATCTGCCCAAGGAAATCAGGTCGGCTGAGTCAGTGATCTCTTTCAAGTCTCTACTTAAAACATACTTTTATCGGAAAGCCTTTCCTGATTATTCTTGAATTTTAAGTTCAATTAAACTGTGTTTCAATTCTTCAGTTTTTATATACCAGGGTTTCATCAGTTCTTTTAAAAGCTGTTGATTTCATGTCTTGTCTGTATTAGTTGTTGACATGTAAAGCACTTTGTAACTCTTTTTTGAAAAGTGCTTCATAAATAAAGATCATTATTATTATTATTATTAGGGATGCACCGCAATGAAAATTTGTGGCCTAAGCCGAATAAAATTAAACGCTTGGCCGAATACCGAGTACCGAATATCGTTGTTTAGTTTTTCATTAGTTTTTGCAGATGAACCCCCTCCAGATTAGTGTTGTCACGGTACCAAAATTGGGACCCACAGTACAATACCAGTGAAAGTATCACGGTTCTGAGTAGTATCACGATACCACAGCAAAAATGAGGCAGATGTGCCTTTTGTCATTTATAAAAAGATAAATCACTTTTCTATAATACATCAATGATATTTCAATGGAATAAATTACTTATTGACTTATTCATACTTCAAAAACAGCATCAATCAGTGATTAACATAGGGGGGGATCAAAATAAAATAAATAAATTAAATAAAAATCAACCAGCCACCCTCCTCCCCTGACAAGT